CAACCCTCTAAGTGGTAGATTTGGGTGTTCAAATCTTATCAATGACAAAAATTTAGATAATCACCTATGTAATATTTATATTATAGCAACTGTTACTAATAATTGGATTAGAATATCTATAATGGTAGTCATACCAGTATGACTGGCAGGTCATGAAGTATCTGTGCAATATTAGAGTTATATGGAGAAATGCAAATTGATATATCAGATAATGTAAACATTAGATAAGTCCTTGTAGCTATGTAAATCTGTTAAAATTAGATAACAAGAATTCTATTTGGAAAGACCTGAATAGAGAGATAGTTAGATCTTTGATAACTCTACTGTAAAGACTAACTTAGTGAAATGGATACCAAGGTCTAGTATCCAATCCTAATAACCAGATGGACAAGAATCTTCTGATTGGAATCTTGAAGATATTACCAATCAGGTTACCAGAATGAATCAAAGAAAAAGAATATTAGGCTGACCTAATATACTGATGAACTGATCGTAATTCTACATGGACTATCTAAATTGGAAATTTGGTAAAAAGGTAGAGAAAAAGGCAGGAGTATACTAAAATATCAGGATTATATTATAAAGTAGATGCTGAGGTCTAAGTAAATTCTACAAGAGCATAACAATTTAATGATTAGTCCTGACTGCAAGTGTTGGTTCTACTATAATGATACCTAAATCAACTATAAAAATAAGTATAGAAGGCTCTGATGGGTTTATCTCAAAGATAAATTAGTCCTAAGATTGAGGATGATGATTTGGTATATCTGAGATGACCAGTGATGTTAACACAGGTTACAGGTTCAAAGGGTTTAAAATGGAACACCTAAGCAGGGATATTAAGTACAGCAATTGGTGGGAAACCTTTAAGTGGACTCCTTAAATAGGTAATATAGAAAAGTTACATGTATAGCCAATTGTACACTCTCCTGTAGTGATTCATTAAACCACAATACTGATAAGTGATTAATAAAAATCAAAAGACCAAAAAGATCACCTTAATATCAAAAAAAAAAAAAATTCTTCAATAATATATTTTTTTTACAGTTAAAATACTTATTATAATTGGATTCTCTATAAATGCACCTTTTTTCTAACAAGTGCATTTATATATAAAAGGTTGACTATAGTAAATCTTTTAGTATTCTTGAGCAAAATTGGTTAATTCCGGCCCGCCAATCACGATTCCGAGGTATTCTCACACAGAATTTTGGTGATCCTGTATTAGGAGCCTACAAATTACCTATTTTTGTGGCCCGGCTCGCATTTAGTTTTACAGTTATTTTCATAATTTCTGGAACACCTATTCATTACTCGAAATCTTTTTGGTCATTCGGTAAATTATCTAACTCTCCGAAAAACTACATCGCTGTCTTCGGACCTTCAGTCCAGAGGCAGCAAAGTAATTTCCGGAACGCTAGAAACAGATTTTGAATAACGAGTAGATGTAAAAATTTTTGCCGGCACGACCCGGTAGGGTGTTCAAAATACTAGTAAATCAAATAATAGTCAGGGTACATATTTAAGGATTTTTTACTGGTTTTTAAATAATTTCAGAAATTTCGGAAACTTTAACTTTCATTTATTATTTTCTTTATTTATCGAACAACTCACTAAACAGTTTATTAGCTTCTATTTCTCCAAACGTTACCTGTTTTTCATTACTTTGTTTTTCATTATTTCGCTCATTTAATTTTCTTTTATTTTTTCTTTGCAACGCCAATTCTTCATTAGATAAAGAAACTTGCTTGACGCTCGAAAGACGAAGTTTAGCTTTTTTAGTTTCAATATTCATGTTCGTATGACATTTAAGGTCATACTTATTGAACAAACCCTCAACCTGTTGTTGATGAATAACTATATAATAAATTCGACATTTGACGAATTCATATAGCAAAAGAAAAGCATAAATTGGTTTATCAGAATTAGCAAAGTTAAGTAGCTCTTCCATAAATAATGGATCTTCTGTTGCTTGAAGCAAACCGAAATCATTAGAATTAGATTGTTTAATATCTAATTCTAAAAGAGTTGTATAACACAACTCTTTGAGACTAGGAACTTGATTTCGTTGCTTTTTAAATTTTACAAATATATAACTTCTAGCAAACTCGTGGCCGTATTTACCACCTAATCGACATATGCTTAATGGAAGATGAAGCCACATACTCATCTACTTATCCAAAGAATTTATGGCCTTATCTATGCCGGCTTCTAAATTATTAAAAAAAATTCCAAAATCTTCCTCATCAAAAATATCAACGGCATCGCATAATTCTTTGTCAAAAAGTGAACAAATATTAGCTCTAACTCTATATAAATTTCTTATTCATTTAATAACTGCATCAGGCATTTCATGGGCTCTTCGACCAGGTAAAAGTGATGATAGTTGACCGTCGGGTTGAAGAATTCATGGTTCTTTATCAGAACCAATAAGAAAATTCATAATTGGTTCATAAATTTGTTCGCCAAACTTTACAAGACATTCTATCTGTGTTTTTAAAATTGGGTCTCTAAGCCATTGTTGAAGAAATTCCCAATTTTCAAGATAAGTTTTTGGTACTTTTTTTTGTGATTTTAGCTTATTCAAAAACCAAAAAGTAAATTTTTCTAAAACGTTTCTTCTTTCTACTAGTTGTCTTGCCGCCTGTAGTTCATATAGCCATCGTTGTCTTAAAGGTTTTTGAAATTTAGTTAACCGAATACCAAATAATTTAAAATACAGATCAAAAACATATGACGATTTCATATTCATAGGATTGTCTTTGTTACTTTCGTTATAACCATTATGTAATTTCCAAATAAGATGAAGTAAATTAAAAGGATGTTTTTGAATAGAAAATCCTTTTTCGACTTTTAGTTTTCCAAAAGCGATATTCTCAAAATTTATCATCATTATATGAGCCGCATGAAGTCCACAAGAAATTCGAAACAAATTCGATTTAATTTCCTTATTAAATAGTGTTACTGTACCATTTTTAGAACCAGACATATATGCCGTGTTGTCTGTTGTCCAGGTTAAACACTTAGTTGGATCTAATTGATATTAATTACAAGAATTAATAACAGTACGAGCAACTGAAATTCCAGAACATTGAGCTAAATCTTCAAGTTCTAACAAAGTAACTTTTGGTTTGTTAATAATTAGATCCCAATACATAAAACATATGACGAAAACTTTGTTATCTCCACGTGTTGATTCGTCTGCCATAATCCCAAAAGTAAACCATCTAGAATTTTTAACAATAGAGCACTGTTGAATTAAATGAATATCTGATACGTCTTGATGCCACCCGACAAGTGTACTTACAGAAAACCATTTGTCGGGCTCTTCATCTATTAACCATTCGATTACTTTTTTTGTACAAGTTATGGCAGATCGATACGACATTTCTCCAATTTCACAAACTTGTGTAGCCATAGAAACAGCTTTAGCACTATACTGTTTTCTATTTTCCATAAGTCGGCTTTGAATAACTAACTTTAATTGTTTATTAGTTAGCTTAGACGCTTTACGTGCTGTGGAACGAATTAAAGAAATTTTTTTTTTATGTATCTGTTTAGATTTGCTGACTTTGCCATGTAGTGATTTATTGATTTTTTTCAAGTGATTAATTTTTTTTTGAATAGTGTGACGGTGTATCGATTTTTCAATAAAATTACAAGCTTTTTTTTGTAAATGTTTGGAGAAAATTTGACCGATTTGAGGTCCTTTTTTATACCTCATAAGTTTTAATAATGATATACTAAGATTTAAATTATTATTATCCATTTTTCTTGCAATATTTAAAAATGTGTTCCACGTTTTTAAATATTTCGGTTGATTAAGTTGTTCTTTAGCAACTTTTTCAATTATATCTATAAATGTTGTAAGAATTGAATCGGGCAAGTCAATTACATGCTCTAGAAGTTTATCAATCTTTTGCTGATGAATATCAATTTCAATTTCTACTTTTAATGGCGGTGGTGAATTTGTCAATATATTGACACTATTATTCGCACTACTACCAATTTCTATATTTAATGGTTGCGAAATTGTCAATATATTGTCACTGTTCTCATTCGCACTACTATCAATTTTCTTTTTAGAAAATTGACATTGGTTACGTGCATTTTTTAAATGGTGACGTCGTTTGAATGTTGTTTTGCATGCTGTTTTGGGGCGTGGCATTGTTTTAATTTGTAAATGCAAAAAATTTTTTTAAAACAACTACTAAAGGTACACTTTTTGAGCGAAGAATATAATTTTATTATATCATATTTTTTTTTAATCGATAGCTTTTATTACTCTCTTTTCACCAATAACGTCAGTTTTTCAAATTTCAATAGCTTTATGTCTGTCAAATTTAGGTAAAGTTCATTTACATTGTTAAAGAATTTACTTTTATAAAATAATGTAAATTGAAAAAAATGGCTCTGTTGCACTAAAGTATACAATTTGCTCTATCTTTTAAAAAAAATTTGAACATTAATTATTATACTAGTTCAAGAGAAAAGTGTACCGAAAGTTGATATTATCCGCAGTAAATTCGGATTTTCATAAAAAATCTATCATATGCAACCCTAATTAATGTTTGATTTACTAGTATTTTGAACACCCTAACGACCCGGCCCGCAAAATTTATTATGAAAATTTTTGGCCCGCAGTTATAAAATTTTGCTTCAGGCTTGGCCAAATGCAGGTCTCTACCCTGTATGAGTTGTCTGACACACGATTGTCTTGCAAAAAGGGTTTTAGACTTATAAAAGATTTTTTTTTACGAATTGTATTCCGAATATGGGCGGTTCCTCCTGAATGCTTCACATGCACTTTGAGAAATCGGCCTAAAATTTTTCCGGTATCCCTGCCGGTGATGAAACAAGTATTACGTATATTTCACTACACGTTAAAAAATGATAATTTATTAAGAATCAAATTTTTTCTCATCGACAGTAATTCCAAATTCTTATCGTTATATATCAATTTCGATATATCAATTCCGATATTAAAAATCAATAATAGCATGGGTTTATTATCGTCACCAGGAACACCTCTTCAATGGGAAGAGGCAAAACAGCATGCACATAAAGTTCGCGCTCTCGGGATAAATTATTTCGTATCTGTTTACAAGCAACTGAAAGAGAAAGAAAATAATTGTCTGAAGTGGGGCGACGAAGTAATTTTCAATTTACACTGATATATTTCGGTCATCCGTTTGTTTATTGTGCTATTATTTTGTAGGTTGAATATATGGTTATTGAGTATGATGATGAAGCAAAGAATGCAAAGTTATCCTTAAGAATTCACGAAATCTTAGCAGAGTTACGAAAAGAGGAGGAAGAAGCATTGAAAATGCCTAATTCCGAGTAAATTATTTTTACATTGGTTAGCCAAAAAATATATAGAGAATTTGACATTGTTGTATTATTCTCTAGACAAACAGTCAAAACTTTATGGAGGCCAGAGTACGGAAGATACATGCTCGAAGGTATTATTAATTCTTATCACCAAGTCACTCAGCCGTTGTTTTACTATGCATTAATGTTTATTTAGGCACACCGGGCACTCCTTATGGTGGTACTTTGAAAAGTCTGCTTCAAACAGAACCAAATATGAAATTGAGAAGAGAAATTATTTCAAAATTTTTGAAGCCAAATGAAGTAGCAATTACTTTGACTAACTTTCCTCGTCTTGGTGCTTCAGGCCAATTCTTGGAACCTAATCATGAGTCGGCAGGGAATGCAGCGAGAAGTCTGTTTGTACCTGACGAAGTTATTAACCCACACGTTAGATTTCCGTACGATATCTTTGTAAATCATTAATATATATATTTAAGATTATACTTACTATAATAAATCATTATATTAAAAAGGACTCTAACTGCCAATATTCGAGAACGTCGTGGATCGAAAGTTGATATTAATGTGCCAATTTTTCGCGATAAATGTACACTCAACCCATTCATAGATCCGACAATTCCTCTAAATCGAAATTTATTTCCCGAGGATAAAGAAAGCGCAGCGTTACCAGATCATATATATATGGATGCTATGGTTTTTGGGATGGGTTGCTGTTGTTTACAAATTACTTTTCAAGCTTGCAACGTTGAAGAAGCCAGAAGGCTTTATGATCAACTGGCGGTAATGGGTCCTATTATGGTAACTATTCTGTTTTATTTCACAAACTCAATCTATATAAATTGAAAGTTTATTAACTACGCATTTAAATAAATTTATAGTTAGCTTTAACTGCATCTGCACCGATCTGGCGTGGTTACCTTTCAGACATAGATTGCAGATGGAATGTAATAGCCGGAAGCGTCGATGATCGTACAAGAGAAGAACGGGGTTTAGAGGTTTATTTTTAATCTCAAAAGCTGGTTACTATCTCGTGTGATTCAAATATGTCGAAGCCCTGACTCATTTAACAAGTTATAGGGTTTTTTTCACAGCCTCTCAAACATGACCGTTTTGTGATTAATAAATCGCGTTATGATTCGATTGATTGCTACATATCCACAGACAAGACTTTGAAACCAGAATATAATGATCTGGATTTGGTATATGATCGTGACATTTGCAAAAAATTGATGGACAATGGTCTGTATCTGATAAATGCCATTGAATGACGCTTTAATTTATAAAAAGATTTACTTATTTTTTTTCTTGTTTAGGAGTTGATGAATTGTTGGCACGTCACATATCTCACCTATTCATTCGTGATCCACTTGTTATCTTCAAAGAACGGTTGGAACATGATGATGGCGATTATTATGACCACTTTGAAGTTAGTTTTCATCATAGCATTTGATATATTAGATCTCATCAGCGATTTATTCAATAAAAATACCAAATGTTCATAGAATATTCAATCTACAAACTGGCAAACTATGCGCTTTAAGCCTCCACCACCAAATTCAAATATTGGATGGAGAGTCGAATTTCGTAGTATGGAGATTCAAATAACCGATTTTGAAAATGCTGCATTTGCAATCTTCATTGTGCTTTTAACACGTGTTATCTTGAGTTATGGGTTAAACTTCTACATACCAATATCGAAGGTAAATTTATTTATTGTCGCTGCTGATGCTGACATTTGGACCTATTTGATATGAATTTTTTAAAAATTTTTGGAGTATTTTTTCCCGTTTTTTTTTTTTAATGGTTGAGTTAGTGTTTAGGGTTAGAATTGATAATTAAAGAGTATATGCGGATTTAGCATGCTTATATTTCAAATCGCGACCCAAAATTCAGCATCAGCTGCGACATTTATTTTTGTTCATCATATGAAGGCACATAACCATAATACCAATTATTTTATTAAACAGGTGGATGAAAACATGAAGATTGCTCATAAGCGAGATGCAGCAATGAGTGAAAAATTCTGGTTCAGAAAAAATGTGTTTGCGGAAGGTAATATAGTTAATGATGGTGACAACATCCAAGAAAACGGTACGTTATGTTATCTTAATACATAAGGCTACAATAAATTATCGGACTGATTCTCTTTTCATTGAAATGAACCTTATTACTTCATATAAAAATTTTTAATTTTATTAATAACTTCTTTTTTTTTTTTACCGGCTTAATTAGTTATACTTTTTAAAATAATTTTTTTAGAAAAAAGTTTTACAAGCAACATTCTAATTGAGAAGTTGACCCTAAAGATTTTATATAAAAATTTACATTTTAAATATAAATGATCTTAGACTAGCATTTTGATTAGAATGTTGTAAAAAATTTTAAAAATTTAAAAATTATTTTAAAGCATAACTAAATATTTTAAGCCGGTAAAAAAAAAAGGTTAATAGAATTAACAATTTTATATAATGTATAAAAATTTTACTATACTTTATTAATACAAAGGGTTCGGTCCGGTAATTTACTGTAGCCTTGTGTGTATACCATAATATTGTTCAAGCTGAATATAATATAATTATACATAACTTTCAATTATTACGGCTTATGTCAAGAAAATTCTAAATTATATTTTAAATCTCACCATTAATAATCTATTTAGAGTCTCTATCAATACCTGATGAAGAGGCATCGAATTATTCAGATAATTCACGTCTAAATGGGCATGCAAATACTAATGAATCGACATTATCCGTAGAGGATGAATATGAACAAATGACCATCAACGAAATTATTAATGGCAATGTAAACTACTAATACTCTAATTTAAATTAATGGATTATCCTAAAGCCATTATTTAATAAGTTGCACCACATGTTTTTAATGTTTTTAATATAGGGTGACAAATTTCCGGGGTTAAATGTTTTAATATGCAGATATCTTGAATCAGTAAATATTGACATTGAAACAAGATGTCAATTAGGAAAATATCTAGAATTTGTTAGCAGGCGTGCAAAAGGTAACTCATGAAATTTCTTATACTCGGCTATATTTTTTCGATTCATTATATATATATTAAAATTGATTTCCTTAATAGGAAAAATTCAAACAACGGCAACATGGATAAGGAATTTTGTACAATCGCATCCAAAATATAATAATGATTCCATTGTTTCACAAGAAATCAATTATGATCTTGTGAAAATGGTTGAAAAAATACAAAATGGTCAAGTAGTTGTACCCGAATTGTTAGATTGCTTTAAAGTTTGATTGGTTTGAAATGTTAATTGGTAAAAATATCCAATTCTTTTATAAGCTATATTATACGGCTTATAACAAGTGAAGTCATGATAGATTACAATGTATAGTACCATAGCATTAGTTTTATAACTATGGCTCTTTTGTCGTGTTAAAAATGACATTGTACAAGTTTTTTTGCACTTATAGTGCAAGCAACGTTAGTGTGAATATAAAATCGGTAAATCAAATCATAAGTAGGGTTACAGTATTTATTTATTGTTGAGGATTTTTTAATAATTTCGGAAAATTAACTATACAGATTGTTTTCTTTATTAGTGCTGCTATATACCGTAGATCTTTTTAAAACAACTACTAAGGGTACATCTTTTGAGCGAATATACTTTTTTTTGTCAATTTTTTTAATTGATAGCTATTACGCTCTTTTCAACAATAGAATCAGATTTACAAATTTAGTTTTATGTTTGTCAAATTTAGATAAAGTTAATTTTACTATCCCCAAAATTCCGGGTCGAAACCATCGGATTTAGCCCGGCATTTAGTTAGCATTTAGTAATACAAGTTAACCATTTCTGGGTCAAAATTATTAGCTGGGCAGCTTTACTTAATGAGTGAGCTATGGTTTCATTAGTAAAACTTCTAGTAATCTTGGGCAAAATTAGTTAATTCCGGCCCCGCCGATCATGATTCCGAAGTATTCCGACCTGGAATTTTGGGGATCCCCCTGTATGAGTTTATCAACTAGGAAAACAAATGCTGTTGTAAATCCAATCATTTATATGACTAGTCACGTTGGCGGACAGACGGACAAATTTCTGCTCAGACTAGTATGTGCAGATCATCCGTAATGATTACGTGCGTGAATAGACGGACAAAATTCAGACGAAATTTTTTACTAATTAAATATTTTTTATGTTTTTAAGTAAAGTTGTAGAGTTTGTTAAAGGTTCTTTATCAATTGTTATACCTAATATTTCTGCTTGTATGTTTTATTTTAAATTCTCTGATATTGTATTCTTGTATTAACTTTATTAGATTATACTTAAATCTTTGTTTCAAAACTTATAAACAGTAAAAATTTGAATAATTACTTAGATAATATTTGTATTATGGTAACTGTTTCTAATAATTGGGTTAAGATACCTGTAATTATAGTTACATCAGCATGATTGGCAGGTTATGAAACAGATTATACAAAAAAATACAAACTGGCATCAGGTGATACAAACTCAAAATAAATTTTTATAATTATATAAATTTATAGAAATTGGTAAACAAGAAGCTTATTTGGGAAGATCTGAATAGAAAGATAACATGAATCTTTAATAATATTACTGTAAAGACTAAATCTAGAAAACAAATACTAATATGAAGTATTTGAATGAACAAAAACCTTTAAATGAAAGGTATCACTAACAAAATCATCAGAATTTTAACTAAAAGAATTAAAGAAAAGAATATTGAGTTGATCTAATATATCAATGGATTGGTTGTAGTCCTATCAGATTATCTAGATTAGGAGTTTGAAGAAAAGACAGGAGTATACTAAAAATACTAGGAATATATTATAAAGTAAATGTTAAAGTCTGGATAAACTCTATAAAAACAAGCTTTGTTAATATTCTATAGAGTAAATAAGTAGTTAACAAAAAGGTTTTCTAAGCTTTACAGTTAGGTGACATGCTTTGAAATTGGATAACAGCTTAACAGATGTACAGAAAGAAGACAAAATATTAAGTTAAATAACATTTAGATATACAGGAATTAAGATAATTAATTGTTTAGATGCAATATAGAAACCAAAGTATTTAATTAGAAAGTCTTTTAATAGATTATAAGTATAGCAATTAGTATAGAATTCTCAGATAAACTACTTAAATAGATAACCAAAAGTTACATATATAGCTAGTTGTAAACTCATCCTATATAAGTAATATATAATGTATTAACTAAAAATACAAATAAAGATATTAGTTTTTTTTTTTTTTTTTTTTTTTTTTCGGTATTAAGGTGACCTCTTTGGTCTGAGCTTTTTATTAATACTTATATCGGGTACATGTTTTATATAGATGTATCTATAATGAACTATTAGACGAGTGTACAACTGGCTACACGTGTAACTTTTC